TGAAGAATTGCAGGACTTACACCAGTACGCCTACAACCCTTCTCACGTTGACGATTGTAAGTTGTGGAATGTATGGACACAAACAAGATTAACCAACAATTCCGATAGTTGGAACTCACGCAATTATTTAGCACAAACATATGTACAATCAACACATCAAAGTGGTGGAAACTGCCTTGACGAGCTACCCTTGAATAACTGTAGGACTTACAGCGGTACGCCTACATTCCTTCTCAGGTTGATGATCCAAGTGGAAGTCGTCCGGACACAATCAGAATTAACAACAGCTAGATGACAAATGATATCAATTCAGTATATACAATATGAACATATGTACAAAATCACACACCAAGCACATTGGACTGCTCATTGATGCGCTACCCTTTGAAGAATTGTATGCCTTAGAGCAGTACGCCTACAACCCTTCTCAGGTTGACGCTCTAGGTTGGGAAATCGTTGCAGAATTCATTTGCTGACTTCCTTCTATGAGCTATATCCTCAAATCTGAACGGCAACACGCTCATGTTACTGTATCGTAGAATACAGATGACGAACAAACACACGACATATCTGATCAACCAAGCGTAGAAACAGAGTAATTTACACCAAAGATAATAGCATTCAATTAGTAACTTGAAACAAGAAATGCCTTTATTCATGCAAGTCAATTTAAAAATTACTCTTTCGTTTACACTTGGCTTATCCTCAATAAACTGAGCAATATCTTTCGTCTTTTCCAATGCACCAATACTATCAAAGTCATTGCACAAGATACTTCAGTTGATGGGCGTCTGTTTCATTGTGGATGACAACACCAACGACAACTGATTGATACCAGTTGATGAAGTTAGCGGTGGATCAGAAGCTGTTGTTGTTCGGCTTTCAGAAAATTCTCTAACTGCAAGACCACCATCACTGCTGTCTTTTACTATCAGCTCAGGTTTAACACTAGCATCTGATGATAGATGGGCTACATGCTGATCAATTAAACTGACGGTCTGACAAGTATATATGCCTGCTGCAACTGCATTTATTTCTACTTCACGTTCAAGTTCTACAGAACCTTTATTTAACTTAGCGGTAGTAGGCACTACCCTCATTTCATCATGATCAACCAAAGACAAATCTGCACTATCATGATCATTATCACAAATATTCAATTTACCATCATCTATCTGGTCGACCTCATCATTTTCAAACTCTTTAATAACAGAAGTAGACAACTTTGGTTCCACCTCACAAATCATTAAAGGCTCTATATCTTCACTCTGAATAGTAATACTTTGTAAACTTGTGGAGTCAGAACTGCACTCTGAAGCAGTAACTCTATTCTGTGACACTCTATTCAACAATGGCTTACCGGTTGCAACTACAGACTTCTTCACCGCACCGTTATCGTCACACAATTCGGAGTCAGGCCTGGAGTTTACATTTAGCTTATCACTGAACTTGCTCACTGGTTCACAGTTCACTTCTGTATGCACCTCTTGCACACGTGTAAAACACAACCGTGCTTGTCTTGCATCTTGTAACTTATCTGTTGAGAATGTACTACGTAACCTGTTATACTCACTAGGTCTATATGCATTACTAGACATCATGGAGCCTTCTCGATATCCACCTCTCTGAGGCCTACTCGTCATCAATGAGTGCATTTTGATCTCAGACTGCTCTATTCTAGGGGTGAGATGTAATAGACTGGCAAACTTGCTCATAGATTGATTGACACTAGTATTTACCAGTTTCAGGATATCATCAAACTTTGGCTCGATACCCTCATCCTCCATACGGGAACTCATCTTCACCCACTTCCTTTGCAGTCGAGTAGGTAGGCGTCTTGCTATTACTTCTGGTATAAAACTCGAGTTGAGGTCACTCATTCGATTCATCGAAATCATTCCATTCTTGTAAATTAGCAAATACCCAAAAAAAACAGTGAGTGCCTGGGAGTCATCCTGTAATTGACCACCATTACCCTCAACAGCCTCGAATAATTTCCCTGCAATCATCGAAGGTCTTCCAAACCTTTGACGTAATATGCTCATAGCCTCGTAGTAGCCCTCTTTTGGCTTCATAAACTTACAACACTGTATAGCTCTTGCAGCGTCTCCAGTGCAATACCTCATCAAATACATTAACTTCAATTCATCACTTAATAGAAAACTACTCAACATGATCTCAAACTCCCTTACAAAATGTAAATAATCAGCCGGGTTTCCATCGAAACACCGTGGTTCAAATTTAGGGAGTTTGATGTTCCTATTATCCCTGAACGGCGAAACAGTAACATCAACCATGTTATGTTTAACATCAGACACATCGTTACAATTAACAGACAAGTCACCATGACTTACTTTCCTGTTTGCATCCAAGACGCTCTGTCCCTTCTTTGACCCAGGCATTGTTGAACTTGACCCAATTCCAAATACGTTCCAGATATTGCTTGTTCAAAGAGGACTTGACCGGCACCAGGAAAGATGAACGTTAACTATCCAAACTGACACCAACGTTCCAAAACCGTCGAAAACTGACTTCACCGTCAGAAACTGATTTCGCCGTCAGAAACTGTCAGTCACGTCTCGTAAACCGTCAATGCCCAGCTCTTGCTACGCTCGGGCTCACGCTGTTCCTTGAAGTTTCTCAGAAACGCTTAGTAATAACGGACGCAAAAACGAAAACAGCGATTGGCTACTCGAGAATTCTTTATTGTAACACCAACATATAAAATATAATTCCACTAAGGTCTGTGAACAAATATTACAATAGTATATCATAGTATTACTTCTGACGATGTTTCACTCTTCTTTCTGAACAGCGACCGATGAGACGATGACTGTCGTATTGATGCCTCCGCGAAAATTGGGGAAGTTGGTTTTGAGCAAACAACCAATAATTGATCGTTCAATCTTCAACTACATTGACAATACTGTTAACATGGTCGTGGCAAAGGCCTTTGTTTCCGGCGAGCCATGTCAAAATGTTGCTAGAATCGACAGAATGGTATATTTGAAAGTTGATGTCATCTACACAAATAGTGTACTTGATGTAGAAGCTACACCTTTTGGCATGGTATCATTAAATGAAGTCTTCACATCTGAGGATATAAATGAAGCCGATTTCCGTGTGAAGAACAGTACTCTTTGACAGATAAATGCTATCAGTACATAGAAACCCCCTACAAAGCTAACGGAAATCTAGACGTACGCATAGATAGACGTATTTCCTACCAAAGATTGCAATTGATCTTCCATTTGCGGCCTGTAAGTTGAGGGCAGGTGCCTTCTGTTAATCTGCCTCTGTAGTAGGAAGGACGCTGACTTCGGCGCCCGTGCCGACTGAAGATCGTGTCTGGCTGACCACATCGCGAATGAGAAGTAGGCGACTAGTGCCACCGGCAGCGGTTGCCGCTAACGCGTGCCGGCGGGATAGTTTCCCACAGTCTTTGGGAAATTGCTGAAAATACGTTTTCGGCAACATTTCGCTTCCTGGCCATCAGTACTGTGATATCAACACCAGTCAGGGTTTTTTGGTGAACATGGCTCGGATTTAGACCGATCACGTGAGCCTCGATGTTGAGGGGAGTTCGGACGACGATAGGAGGGATCATAAGGTATGTTTGACGTAAGCAGCTGCTGGATGGAGTTGCATAACTCTATCCTCACTCGAAGTCTGCCCGGAAACTGAGCATATTTCAGTAGCCGGCCGCTTAGTTAATTCTAGAATTTTATGTGCGGAAACGGGTAGTCTAAATACACCCTGTAGTGTCACCAGCACAGTCTGTACTGACTGTGGCAGTTTGAATAAGAAAAGTTCGCTGGAAAGTCCTTCATCAAGCTGACGTTGACCAATAACTTCTCTCATTCTTGTAGGCATGCTCATGGCTGACTGATCACTTAATTCGACGTTACGAAGCAGTTCATCACGACGTTGTCGATCCGTGAGAACTTTTCTCCGTATGAAGGTTGGCTTAAGCAACTTATACGAATTACTTACCTCTGGGCTTGACATCTGCACAGTTATGCGCTCGCTGAGTTTTCGCGGTAGGGCATGAACAATTGCAAGGAACTGTGAACGTTGATCAATTAACCCATGTTCGCCGAAATCAGACTCAGCTGTCTGAAACCATGATCCTGAGTTATCTGGCCAGATAGTACGAGCTGAATAGTTTTGGCAGTTGGGCGGATACGGATGACCTTAGGAGTATGATCAGTTGTGACGAAATATATATAGTTTGAAAAACGAACGGGAACAAATACAAAATGGAACGAACTCACAGGATTTGTCTGTGTATTTACCAAGGATGAAGTTCTCGGTATGGCTCACCAGTTTAGAGGCTGAGGATATTGAAGTTCACGGATATTACGAAGTATACTAGTGCAAGATCTAATATCCAAAACTTCCATAGTATTCGTTCCACATAGACCAAAGGCGAAGGAAAACACCAGAATTGACCGTTCAAATTACGAGTTATATTTCGGGACCAAATCAGAGTGCGAGCTGATTGCTAGGGATCGTGCATGAACGAACGAACATGGCACGTTGGCGTACGAAATGGCGTGGATGTTTGACCAGAAGCCTTCAGCTAAACAAGTTGACTTAAACAGTGAGGGTCGGCATCCAATAATTCAGTGGCAAATGTCGTAGCCAATAATTCTGGGGAATACCTACCGCTGCAGATTTATGCCGTTGCTGGGATCCTAAAAGAGGAGGATATGTAATTGTGCGAAAACAGCAACATGACAGATCATCAAACTAACAAAAGGGCGCAAACTCTCCACAGACTACACTTAGACTAATTTATCAGTACAGCAAAAGTTTTCCCTGTTTCACATTTAAGTTTACTCATTGATGTATTTGTTTTCTTGTTAAGTATTCTTGTCCTAATCGTAACTGTTATATCTCTTTTTCCGATGACACTCAGAATACTATCTGGCCGGAAAACTAATGCCCTCAGAAGTAGCATAGATCAAAAATTATCTTTCGAGGTTACATGACATTCTACTGCCCATGGGTCAACCTAAACGAGAGCAAGATAAGAAGTGTGACTGAACAGACGGAAACTTTTTCAAAAATAAGATGCCCTACTCTGAAAACCAAGGAGATGTTGCATAGAGATTATTTTGGTACAAAGTAGCTAAAAATAGGTTACGAAGTACATAGAATATTGAGCAAAAGAGGCGAATATACGCAGTACGTCGGTACATCCAATATTTTTGCGGGCTAGTGTGGACCAATTTGATTTCTTTATGCTCGTTCCTTGATTGTGAGGTAAAGGTCCCTGGTCTACTGTAAGAAGGCAGTTAAATTAGCGTAATATAGTCGAAAGTCTTAGAAGATAATAAGAAAAAGGGGAAGAGAGATAAAATAAGTACACAAATGAAATATAAAAAACGAAGGTAAAAGACGCATACTGTCATGTCAGTGAGCGCAACTTTAATTCAGATAAGTAGCCATCATTCACCTTAAAAGTCAATACAAAGAGTTGATTACTCCATAGAACGAAGTCAAATATTTATGTGATTACCCTTCATTTGCCGATCAGAGAATGCACCTGGGCAATGTGGCCAAAACATGGGCTAAATGGCTAATTTTGATCGGCAAATAGGTGGGCAAAAGATGGTGTAAATGCTACATAAGTGACCCACTTTGCCCATATCGGCAACTTTCTCCTCGTTCTCCCATATGCCGAAAAATTTTGTTGTCCCACTTTTCCCCAGTTTACCCATCTTTTCAACGAATACTTTGCCCGCATTTTCTCACCTCACCCATGTCGCAACCGAAAATTGCCCACGTTTTACCCACATATCCCGGGTCCCAAAAAAATCATCGACTGGGTTTCTTCCGACTTAATCCCATTTTGGTTAAGTTCACGACTAGCATTCAATAAGAGAGTGAAGATGCTGTTGATTTCTATCGACTAATGTACTATAGTATACTAGTTGATACGAGTCGGTGGTATACCGGTTAGGACGCTCGCCGACCATGCACATTGTCCGGAGTTCGATCCCCGGCCACCGACGCACTCCTTTACCTCACTGAGCCAGAAATAATGCTGGTAAAGAGGCTAGCTACCCCATCCTGTAAAATAAACACTGCCACAGAAACTTCAAGCCACTAGCTTGAAGCCCTATGTTCCACTGGGGAACGTGAAGGAAAAATAAATAAAATAATATATACTAGTTGATAGAAATCCGTAAGCCAAGACTATAGTCTTGGCTTAAACACCATAAAGTACAAAGTCAGCGTGAATAGCAGTAATAGCGTCATCCTCTTCTAAAGCTGCCAGGGACATCCTAATGGGCACTAACTTCATTCGGTCTAAAGTTAAAGCGGCGTGGTTAGGATTGCCAGTAATGACCTAAATAGTATCTGTATCTGTCATATAAGAAGGCATTCCATATTAGTTTGATTATTAAATATATCACACAGTGAAACAGTATTGTATACTGGATCCAGTATACAATACTGTTTCACTGTGTGATATATTTAATAATCAAACTAATATGGAATTACTTAATACCACAGTGCCCAAGTTTTACAAATATATTAATATAAGAAGGCAGATATTTAATTAAAACTTCTCGTAAGCTCTGAATGTAGAACATATGATAAGAACGCTTCAGCAGAGTTTCGCTACCAGTTACACTTATCTGACGGACCTCATTACTTCTCAATAGTAGCAAAAATCCCTTCAGTAAGAACAACATGGTTTTAGCCATACAACTCTTTCCGAAAACTTCTTCCTCATGCTCTACAGTTATAAACCCATGAATATTCTAATACGAATAACCACCAAAGTTACGGGAAAATTATATCAGAAACTGTACTGGAATATGTGTATATTATGGAATGATAGTTCGTTATTCAACATCGTCAAATGAATGCATATAAAATGTTCAGTCATTCAAAACATGTGACAGTGTGAATAGACAAATAGGTGACATACTAGTGTATTTATAATCAACAGAATATTACTTCCATTACGGGTCGAGATGAGGTGGGGGAGTAAGTCATATTCACTGGCAAGCGAGAAAAATGATTAGCACAAAATACAGACGAACAAATACCAAAAACGGAGAACATAGAATGTAGGTTTGAGCGAGACTTGACAGATATCAAGTGTAGTGATAAAATAAAGGTTAAATTGTGAACTGTAATAAAATACAAAATTCTGGTCTAAGGAATAAATCTCCTCTCTGATTATCGGATAATGTTATGTCAGGAAGATCTGTAACACATTCATATCCAGACTAACAGGAAAAAGTGTAGGTGACTCATATTATCATTTGAACTGACAAGCTTCTTTTGTGCAACTCCTCTCATTTTACGGGTAACGTAGTTACAAAACTGCAGAAATTTCAAGTAATAATGATAGGATTATAAATTTCTAGACCGTATATGTTACGAATTTTTTAGATTGAATCGTTTTAGGTTACTAAAAGTTATCCCAGCTTTATTCCAAACAATATGTTTTGCCTCAAATATGGAATTTTCAGCATATGGTACAGTATTGCATCTAAGTTTCTCGTTACAGGGGTAATAAATGTTGTTCAATACGAATATAATTATGAAGTTAAATCAAGCGAAGATATTAATAATATAATGAAAAAAAGAGGGCCGTTTACTCAGAGTCTTACAGTAAGTTTGTAGTATCCTGACTTCATCACTTAAAATGTGTGCCAAATAAGGTATTGTATAGTTTCTGTACTTCGTCGTCCGAGCATATATTCTCCTATAGTTGCTTCTAATCCTACCTAAGGAGAGAGTTGTGTATAGAGGAGACGCTCAGAGTCTGACAAGATTATATTTGCTAATTTCTTGTAGGAGTCCATGTGTCTATTTCGCAACAGTATTAATGAGTTAGTTTGGTGACATCTCACTCACTCTCTTGTCGGCTTTTAGTGTCCTTCTCATATTATTGATAATTCAGTTGAAATAAGTGAAGCAGCAGCCTGTCTGTCTGTCTGTTTTCGACATAGAACTTTGCACAAATGTGCGGAAGTTCAAGTCGCCACATTCCGTGTAGCACGCGAAGCAAGAGAAGAAAGTACAAGAAAAGCATAATAGAAACAGTGAGCAGAGGTGTGAGACAAAGGAGTAATAAAGAAATACAAAACAGTTTCATTGAAGATCATAAGTCACAGGGAGTGGATGCATCTGCGCCACTGAGAACGGTTTTGAGCCATGTCACCAATTGTTTCCAACCATAGATTTTTACCGTCCCGAGGACCCCAGCCTGGAAGTCTACACCTTTCTACGTGGCTTAGACCAACTGTTGTGGATTTCATTGACTGATGCCAAGTTTTTGTTTGACCGCCGCTAGCTTTTTTCCAGCCTGACCCTATATCCGCTAACATTGCTCGTCGAGGGAGGCGATGGCTTGGCATACGTAACACATGTCCTAACCATCTCAGTCTTTGTAGCTTCACGACTTCGTCGATTGATTTCCCCTGTTTACCTAGAACTCTACGCCTAACCTCCATGTTGCTCACCTTATTATGCCACTTTACACGGGAAATAGAACGCAGGCACCTATGATCAAAGACAGCTAGTCTTTTCATGTCTTCCACTCTCAGTGGCCAGGTCTCACAACCATAAAGGAGGACGGAGCGGACTGATGAGCAGTACACCCGCCCTTTGGTCGATAGTCGAACATCTCGTCTACGCCAGAGTCGGCGTAAACTAACAAATGCGAAACGAGCCCCTTGTATTCGTGCTGAGATTTCGTCAGAGATCAGCCCGTTGGGGCTGATGGTACTTCCCAAATAAGTGAAGCGGTCAACGTGCTCTACCACTTCACTTCCTATTTTTAAACTAGGCGTCGATGTAGTCCAGTCCTGTAACATCATCTTGCATTTGGCGGGAGCGAATCGCATGCCAAACATTCGTAGATTGCGGCTCAAGGTGTTTAGAAGACTCTGCATTTCGTCAGCGTCTTCGCCTAGAAGGACTATATCGTCTGCATATTCCAAGTCAACGAGATTATTCCCCGGTAGCAAGTCAATCCCTGAGTCGCTGAAGTCACCTAGGGTTAAGTCCATTAACACATCTATGATGAAGTTGAATAGAAAAGGAGATAATGGGCATCCTTGACGGACACCACTGGTCGTCATCAGTTCAGATGACAGCTCGCCGTAAGCCCTCACCTGGCTGTATGAGTACGAGTAGAGTGCCTTAATCAGTGCAATATATTTTCTTGGAATTCCCTTTACAGCCAAGCATCTCCAGAGAACTTCCCGATCGACAGAGTCGAATGCTGCCTTTAGGTCAAGAAATATAATGACTGTTGGACGCCGGTAGGAATGCCTATGTTCTAGAATCTGTCGGAGGGTGAAGATATGATCAATACACCCTCTTCCTGGTCTAAAGCCTGCCTGGCTCTCTCGTGTTTGTGCTTCCCGAGCACCACTCAGTCTACGCATGATTATTGAGCCTAAGACTTTAGATACTATATTAGTCAAGCTAATCCCTCTGTGATTATCACAGGAAGACTTGTCTCCCTTCTTGTATATGGGGATAATCAGTGACTTACACCAACCCGATGGGACTTCTTCTGATTCCCAGACGCTGCCTAGTACCTCAGTTAATCCGGACAGTAAGCTGTCTCCACCGTACTTAAATACCTCTGGAGTCATTCCATCAGGTCCCGCTGCTTTGCCTAGTTTCAGATTGGTGACAGCTTTAGTAACCTCAGTTAGTGACGGAGGACCTGTGTCTATATCCCATTCAGGGAGGTGTTGGATGCTCGGAAGGTTGAGCGTGGCTGTGGGCAAATTAAACTGCTCCTCATAATGCTCTTTCCAACGATCCAGTCGTCTATCCTGGGAGCTAATTATAGTGCCATTTTTTTCCGAGATTGTCTCACTGATGATTTGTCTTCTCCCACCCGTTTCCCTGATGAGTCCAAAGAGTTGCCTGGTGTTGCCTATCCTCGAAGCTTTCTCCATCTCTTTGGCTTTTGTCGCCCACCACTGTTCACGGTCCTTGCGGAGACTTTTCGTAAGTTTCCTCTTGTGCAGCTTTCGCTCCTCATTGAATTCGGAGCTCGCCGGAATAAGTCTTCTAGCATCTATCAGTTCGGATGAGGCGGTGGAGATCCAGTGGTTTTTACTCACCTTTGGGTTTACCTTATTCACAGCTTTTACAGCTGTATCTATGGCTGCCTGGATATTTTTCCAAGCTTCTTCAGGGTGAGCACAGCTGTCGAACACAGATATGTGTTTAGCTAGTTCTTCCTCAAATACGGATTTAGTTTCCTGATCGAGCTGGGGACGTGATGGTTTTACCGCCAGCTGTTTCCTACGTCCGTTCAGTCGTAAGCACACCCGAGCGCGGACCAGTGCATGGTCGGTATCTACGCACGTGTTCCAGAAGGAGCGACAATCTCCTACCGACCCACGCCAACGATAGCTTATTGCTATGTGGTCTATTTGTGTCCAGCGTTGGTTTGATGAAGGGGGTCTCCAAGTCAAACAGTGTCTCTCCTTGTGTTTAAAGTTAGTGCTTACAAGAAACAAATGATTATCAGAGCAGAACTGTAGGAGACGGTCACCGTTGTCGGTTCGCTGGCACGGAGCTCCATAGGTGCCACCGACATCCTTCTCAGATTGACACAATTTCCCTACTTGAGCGTTAAAGTCACCAGCTAGAACGACTATGTCTGAGCGTTTAGCCTTTCCCACCAAACTAGACAGCTTTTGGTAGAACTCATCCTTCGTTTCATTTGAACTTGATAGGATCCCACATATTTTGGTATTGACTGTTTAAACTTGCATATATGGTATGTTATCATTCTCACGCATTTTGGTATTGACTGCTAATTTTGTATATTATCATTCTCACGCATTTTGGTAGCGACTGCTAATTTTGTATATTATCATTCTCACGCATTTTGGTAGTGACTGCTAATTTTGTATATATGGTATAATATCATTCCCACACATTTTGTTACTGACTGTCAATGTCGCACATATGGCATATTATGATTTCTCACACACTTTGTTATTGGCTATTAAGGTCAATTATTTCAAATGCTGTTAGCTGTCCATATTGTTGTAAAATGTATAAATACCATGGCTTTCTTTATCGTTGTTGCACTTCAATACACAGTCACAGTCCAGCCTTTGTCTTTTGATATTTGCGTGCTTTACCAAGTCGGAAGGTACGACGAGCAGATAGACAGATTAGTTCAGGCGCAGACAGAATAAGGTGAAAACGTCTTCATTCAATCCCCTGCAGTTATAACAGAACTGCAGTCAGTGGGGGCGTAGGCGGAGATTACGAAAAGGCATCGGCGAGTAGTGCAGTCCTTCCTCCTTCTTACTGATCCGTTCAGGCGGACAGCACACATTCGGCTATCTACCGGGATCCAGTCAAGCAATGTCTTTTCTGCCCTAGTACTCAAAGCTATCCCTACGCCAGCTAATCTTCGTGAACTAGCTGTGGCATCTCCTGACACCCTCAAGGTGAATTTTGCAGATTCAACCTGTTGGCCAGGTGGGGTTAGGTGAATAACCACACTTGGGTCTTGTATGCGTGTTTCTGAAACACAGCATACATCAATGGCTCGTGATGCCAGAGTCTTGGCTAGTGATGCTTGTTGTCCTATTTGGAAAAGTGTCCTAACATTAAGAGCTCCTATATGAAATTGGTGGCGCGGCTTTAAGAGGCTGTCGGTGGTGGTTTTTTGGCTTCCATCGTTTTTAGTGGACGCAGAGTGGAGAGGAAGTGGAGAGCTATCAAGTCGAGGAGTTGCATCAGTGGAAGGAAGGCAAGATGATAGAGATGAAGATGAAGACAAAGATGAGTGAGTAATAGAGAGGTTTCGTGTGCATTTCGGATTGTGAGGGCGATTGTTACTTCCCGGCTGCCCACACCGTGGAAGTTGGTTGCGTGACCGCAGAGCCCAGGGGACAACTGCTTGAGGCCGGTCGCACGCGGCCTGTTTTTGTTCGTTCTTTTTTGTTTGGTGTGTCCCAGTAGCAGATTTATCACTCCTGCCCTGTGACACGGTAGCAGGAAGCGCGGTCGTTGTTAATCCGGGCCACGGCCGATCCGGCATGAAATTTTGTATTGGACATGATGTTGGATTGGGTAGCTGCTTTTTGTTTAACCGCTATCCAAACAACCTGCCTGGCATGGTAGTACCTCAAGAGACATAAGTCTCAGCCAGTATAGCTTGAATAGATCATTGCGGTGTTCAAGCCCGACCACCACGTCAAGGTAGCAGCTTTCGGTCGGGTGACGGGCAAGCATTTCATGCTGTTTCTGTTTTTATATTCTCGATGTAACTTCTTAACACAAGCATCATTGAAGCTTTAGAGCTCATGGAAAATACCCATTAGGACATTAGAAAGAAGAAAACACAAAGTTCAACAAAGATATCTTTTCGGAAATTTCACTTTCAAAAACTGTACAATCGCATTTAAATATATAAATTTACATAGATACAATTATTATTTAACTTCACATAGTTACGCAGGCGAATAAAAGGTGACAAGTATTTTCAACTTGATATGGATTATGAGAGAAATTACACAGGATTAGAGTATATTTGCAAAATAGTTACTTTATACGAATTGCAAGTGTAGGCAAAAAAAGCATGGAAAAAACTTGAAATAACTATTCTTATAACGGCAAAAAATGGAATGAATTGAATGAAGACAAAGAGAGAGAAATACACAGCGAACAAAACAAAAAAACGTAGGCTAATGGGACATACCGAACTAGGCCCATGGTAGTTGTATAGGTTGGACTACTTCCTTTTGAATACACAGCTCCGACTTTTCGATGCATATTGCGATGGCTTCTGCAGTACAAAAAAGTTGGAAATACACTGCCTTTGATGGGTTTTTGGTTTGCTTTGTAAATGGCTTTGAATGAATCAGTTGAGATGTTGATCAGATGTTCAATTATGGAACTTCTGATTAAACCGGTGCCTCTTCTTCGCAGCCATGCTGAGTAATGTTCTCTGATACGTTTAGAAAGGACACGCAGACAACGACCTATATACCCAGCTCCATATCAAATTGAAAATACTTGTCACCTTTTATTCGCCTGCGTAATTATTTGGAGTTTAATAATAATTGTATCTATGTAAATTTATATATTTAAATGCGATTGTACAGTTTCTGAAAGTGAAATTTCCGAAAAGATATCTTTGTTGAACTTCGTGTTCTCTTCTTTAGAGCTCAGTCAAATATTTCCAATCTTGTTCACCTTGGAAATTAATATCGAAAATGTGAAACATTAATTGCATGAACTACTTGCTCTTCATGTTGCTGTGTCACATATGCTACTTGAGGGATACCTACCTTTTTTATTAGTTACATCACAACTTGTTGTCAACGTCATTCGAAGTATTCAGTCGTTTAGAATATAGTGTTCTTTTATCCTTTATTGTTTTGATATTTTTAGAACGGTGTTGTCCAAAGAAAAAGCAATAAAGCGAAAGTATTGTTATACAATTGCAAAAGTGACTGACCTACCTATGACACTTTTAAAAGTAGGTTTTAAGTGCTAGTAACCAACTCAGATTTTAGGTTTTATGCTTACATGGTTATAGGTACTGTCTATCACATGTATAAAACATCTCTTGTGACACAGACAGAATGCTGATATTTTTCGAGAAAAGACAGGTGGATTTCGAAAGTCACTGAAAAAATTTTGTGAATTTAGTTAGTTGTATGCTGTTTTATCTAACTTTATTTAGGTTTTTTATGTGCACCGAATATGGTAGAGAATTCCACTGCAAATGGTTAGTTCATTTTCTGTCTGATTTAATCTAAAATATGAAAGATTGTGCTTGGTGGTTTTCTAATCCTCAAGGTTTTTCTGCCCAAGAATACAGTGATTATGACGCTGGTCTCCGTGAATCATTGGCAATTGTTAAAAAACATATGGAAGAAGAGGTATACAAAATAAGCAAGTCCACGAATTTCAGGGTCCTTTCGATGGAATTATTGGTTTTAGTCAGGGTGCAGCATTTCTCTTGATATTGCAGATTATTATGGAGCATAAACTGTATGGTACGACTTTATATATTTATTATTTACCTTGATGTATGCAATAGTAGTTGGGATTTAAATGTCATTCAAAGTATCTAAAGTACATTCTGCGTTGATAAGTATTATCTTAATATGATCTTTTTCATACTTGCAGGTGTCTCATACCTCAAAGTAGATTTTGTTATGCTTGAACACTAGTAGACTGATTGACTGGTTTCAACATGGAACTTTGCACGGATATGCAACAGTTCCAGTCGCCACACTCTTTGTAGTACACAAAGCAAGAGAAAAGAGAGGTTGAAAAGAACGATAAAAAGCAGTAACACGAGGCAAAAAGAATAGCAATATGGAAGAACAATATAGTTTTATTGTATATTATAGATCACAAGGAGTGGATGCGTCTGCGCCATTGAGAACGGTTTTGAGCCATATCACCGATTGTTTCCAGCTTTCATTGATTCTTACTACCCCGATGACCTCAACCAGCAAATCAACACCTCCCTACATGACGGGCTCAAACTAGCTATTGTGGATTTCATTGACTGATGAAGTCATGTTTTGGTTTGACCACTAATAGCTGTTTTCCAACCTGACATTGTCCTCCGAAGAAGGCGGTGGCATGACATGCATAATTAACACATCTCCTAACCATCTGAATAGATGTAACTTCACATTCTTGTCTATTGATTTCTCTTCCTTACTTAGCCCTCAACCGATGCCTAACCTCAACATTGATAACCTTATTATATTGCTTAACACGGGAGATAAAACTCAGGCACCTATGATCCAAGACAGTTAACCTTTTTGTATTTCCACTTTCAAACAGCCATGTCTCACTCACAGTCATAAAGGAGGATGGGGCGGACTGCTGAGCAGTACACACGCCCTTTGGTCGTCAGCCAGCCAGATATCACGTCTACGCCAGAGATGGCGTAAACGGGCATATGCGAAACCAGCCTTCTGTATCCGCGCTAAGATTTCGTCAGCGATCAACCCACTTGGCGGATGGCTGATGTAAATTCCTGAATAAGTGAAATGGTCAACACGCTCTACCACTTCACTCCCTATTTCTAAACTAGGAGTCAATATAGTCCAGTCCTGTAGCCTCACCATCTTAGATTTGACGGAAACGAATTGCACGTCGAACATTCGTGGATTGCAACCCAAGGTGTTCCGAAGACTCTGCACTTTGTCAGCGTCTTCACCTAGTTGGAAGGACTGTATCATCTGCATATTCTAAGTCAACGAGATTATTCTCTGGTAACAACTCAATCCATGAGTTAGGGTTAATTCCATTAGTACATCTATGATGAAGTTGAATAGAAATGGGAATAGTGGGTATCCCTGACGGACATCACTAGCTGTCACCATTTCAGATGACAACTCACCGTAAACCCTTACCTAGCTGCATGAGTTCGAGTAGACTGCCTTGATCAGTGCGATTTATTTTCTCAACATTCTTTTCACAGTCAATCATCGTCAGAGTACCTCTCGGTCGACAGAATCGAATGCCACTTTCAGGTCAAGAAATATGACGATTGTTAGACACCGCTGTTAAGTATACCTATGTTCCAGAGTCTGTTGAAGTGTGAACATATGATCAATACACCCTCTTCTTGGTCTAAAACCCGTCTGGTTCTCTCGTTAGCTAGTTAGAAGATCATTGAAATGCAAGGGGCTTTAGTTTAGAACTCTTCAGATTCTTACAAAACTAAGATCTGAATCCTCATCTACGACTCTGGTTAGCGGTGGCTTTATTTCGCCAATGGACAGAAACTAGTATCTATGGGGTTCCAACCCAGTGGCTGAATGGTAAACATGCCCAGCTCGTAACCTGCATATGCTAGATTTGACCCTCTATAGGAGTGTAAGTGAGAGAGAGGGTCCCAAACGTGGTTAAAACATATATTCAGTGTCCCCTTCTTACTGATGTGAATTCGTACTGAAATATGAATTGAAGTTCATTGAATTCCTACCAATTAAAAATCTGAATTTTTCACAATCAGTTAACGTGTGTGTATATAAATGTTGCCATTCCGTATAAAAAGTATTTAAATCTTGTTTTTTTCACTATGTGATGAACGAAGAATATTAATTCTAGCTTCTACCTTGATTTTATTAGGATTCAACTCTTGAAATTTGATGTCTATGTTAACCTTGGCTTTAAACATATATACAAACTGTTTTTGTTTGTTAATAGCATCTTGAATGTTTGTCTTACCGACTAGTACAGAATCATTAGTTGTATTTTTTTTTAATACAGTGTATTTCACTTATATATTTAAAGACGAAGTTGACACAGAATGGGTGTCGAGAAATATACCTTAGAAGGCAGGATGGAAGGAAGGAAGGAAGGCTAGTTTTTGCATAAAATGTGTCTGAACTATTCAATCATCACGATTCTTTTACCTTTTTTGATTTTTTTAAGGCAGCGATTATCACTTCAGTATTGTGTGATAATAGTCTACAAATAATGCTGGATAGTGGTTAAACAATCGGCTTTTTTTCGATAAGTGTTTCAGATATAAGTATGCATATATTAATGCTCATAAACAATGACAGTTGTGGATTTCTTCACTATTGTTGCATACCTAATCTACTATTATTAAGCAGTAATATATACTAATATGTAATTTACTACTTTAAAATCAGTCGTTTTCATCATTTTTATAAAGATTTTTCAGATTGGAATATGAAACCGATTAAATTCACAGTATTGGTAGCACCCTTCCTCAGTCGTTGTTCACTTCATAAAAATATTTATGCTTATAAGTCAACAATGCCAAGTTTGATTGTTTGCGGTAAAACTGACTCAGTGATTTCTAGAGGTTAGTTGAAATACTGGTGAAAGTTTATAACTGCTGTTAAATATTCAAAGTAGTGTATGCTTGCTAATTTATGTTATCATTATTATCGTTACTTCAAGACATTATATTAGATAGGCACCAGGTCTCTCTCTATCCGGGAAGAGAAACCAATAAAAGATGCTGAAGGGGACCTGATTACCAAGGAAGAGGAACAAATAAAACAATGGATTGATCACATTAAAGGACCCTTGAATCGGCCATCACCTGCAACTCGGCCAGAGATACCACCAACACCAACAGCACACACAGAACTGTCAGTGGACACCGATGCCTTCAACGGAAGCAGAAATCTTGAATCCGATCAAGCTACTGCAGTTCAGTCGGAAAGGCAGCAGGACCAGACGGAATTCCCTCCGAAGCACTGAAAACAGACACAGAAACTGTGGCAGATGTTCTCACGCCATTATTACAAAAGGTTTGGCAGGTTGGGAAGGTGCCTACTAGTTGGAAGAAAGTCTACTTCATCAAGCTGCCAAAGAAGGGCGGCTTACGCCTCACTCTGCAATAACTGGTGTGGAATAATACTCTTGTCCACTCACGCTAAGTAAAATACTATGTTGCGACGAGTTGGTCGTCGTCTCGAGGGTGACATGGAGGAGATCGTGTGAGAGCAGTCGTGGATCCAGCTGAAGAGGAAGGCAGGAAATAGAACAAAATGGGGATGTGTTGTTGAAGCCCTATGTTCCACTCGGAACTTGAGGGAATAATAATAATTACTATCGTCATTATTATTACTATTATTACCATTCTTATTGTATAATTATCGGTGATTCTGTGTTAGAATTCTCTCCAACCACGCTAAACGTGGTCTGGATCCAATTCAACCTGCTGAGGCACTTCTAAACCTCACTAAGCTGATAGTAAGCCCGGTAAAGAGGGAAAGTTGGTCATGAGGCTAGCAACCCCACTCCGTAAAAGAATACCAGTGCTGTTGAAACCTCAGAGTTGAAGATTGAAGCTCTCAGAAAGCAGAGGAATGAAAAACGTTTACAGAATATTTTGCAGACATAACTCTCACAATCCCTTTTTACAACAACCTTTTAGTTGGCAACTGGTAGTACATACCAATTGATTATGTACATTAAAAAGAATTCGCAATAATGACTCCAGAGAAAAAGAAAGTTTAACTAGTCAAAGAAATATTTCTCTCCAATGAGATTCACATTTCTGAAGCTAGGGTAAATTATTGGCTTTATTAGACATCAGAAATTCCAATCTAATAGTGTTGGGTAAACCAGTAGTTAACTACTCATAAAATCTCGGTTGATATTCAAGTGTTGGTTTGCAAGGATTTGATTTGGTTGTTTACAGGATTTCATCATGAACTGACATCGGTTAAAGAGGCATTACAAAATCTGGTAGTACGGGACAGTTGTTTCGTTCTAGTTTTTGACTCTTCACAGTACACACCCAGTGGGGTTCGAACTCGGGACCTTACGAGGCGAGCTCGTAGACCATTTAATCGCTGGGACCCGATCTAATGACCCAGTGGTTTTTTAACCGATATCAGCTCATGATGAAATCCTGTAACCAAATACGGATTTCTAAGTGGTCTTTATTGCTAACTGAACAATCTGAGTAAGTATCTGCACGTGGTTCATGACTTTCAAATGTAAGATGATGCTACTGGAGGATTTGCACCGATTCCTGGTTTTTAATCCAGGTAGAAGGTGAATTGATTGAGTATGGGTTGACAACACTTCATTTATTTGAGAAGTTGCATCAGACCAAATCGAGTAGTCACTGAAGAAATTTCAGAATAGATATTAAAGACTTATTCAGTGCGTTCCACTTCCCTTATTGTCTGATTTCAAAGTAATATCCAACTACCTATCAAAGGTTCCCTCTACTACTCAGAAATTCATGTTGTCTTAACTTGTGAGCATGAGAAATGGTTGCTGAAGGTGAAGGGTATGGTATAATTACACGTTTTCAACCGTAGACGTATCCATTTGAGTTGTTCAGGTAAGGTTGTGCAGTATGCTAAATAATAATAGTGTTTGGGACAGATCATTTTCTAGATCAGGAAATCATCGATAAGGTTATGAAGATCCGTCAGTTGTTGTGGCTGTGACATGTACTATGGATTCCAAAGCACTGTCTTACTTGTGAACAATGTTAGTTGAAGTAGAACTAGAGTGTCAGGTGTAGGAGGTGATCTTCATTGTTCTCTTGTTTGTGCATTTTATGGCATGGTTCTGTTTCTCTTCCCTTCATTTGTGTAGTACGCTGAACTGATGCACTTTCGGGCAAATTTCCACATTGTGATACGTCATGATTGTCTTCTGTAATAATTTAAACGTGTGTAACACTACTTTACGTCTAACTAGGTTAACTATTCGAATTCATTTCGTTTGAAGGTTTATCCGACAACCGTATTATATATATATATATATATATATATATATAATTCTATTGTTTACATTTATTCCTAATATTTATAGAGATGACTGATGAAATACTGGATATATTCTTGTCTAAACCACAAGTATTTTTGCATGATGGTGGACATTATATTCCTACTCATGGTGAGGCAAAACAAGCCTATACTGATTTCATCTCAAGTTTTATCGATCAAAAAAAATTGTAATGCATAAAACTCATTCTGTATACGTACACTTTACATCTGAATATGTGAATTGTTTGTTATGTGATAATTCATTCTAGATAACTTTGTAAACTTTTGTACAGTTTAATAAATTCTATTTTCTTTTAATGATGTTCTTGACATTTTTAGAAGAATATTCTTTTATTCATTATTATAAGGGTTTTTGTATTTCCCAATGAATGAAAAACAAAACGATATTGTTCTTACTGGCGTTTCGCTATTTAATGCTGCTGCTAATCACTTTATCAAAGCAGTATTAAACTAGGGCTTACAAAATCTCAGCTTATATCTAACCAAGTTAATCATCGTTCACCAGCATGGGGTAGTTTTTTCTGTGTTGTCAAGTTGGCCAATTGATAAAGATAACAAAACCAAGTGTATATTGTTGGATTTAATAAGTGTATAAAATTATAAAAGCAGCATGTGTTCACATAATGAAATTACTACTTGTCACATTCGTGTTGATTTTCTCACTTCATGGGAGAGGGGGTTGTTGGAACCACGTCAAATCCTCTCTAAGCCCATCATTCTTATTCATACAATTTAGATTCCATTTGATATGAAGTGCTTGTGATGTTGTCGGAAGTTCTTTGTAATTTCTGAAATTTTTCTGGATTATTTCAATATTGTCAACATCAATTTTGTGACCTGATTCTATAGCGTGTAGACCTATGGTTGATGATTTTTCAAGCTTTTTCTTATTCAGCTGGATTTCTCAGTAGTCGAACAGATGCTCTACGGTGTTCATTTCTTCTAATTTTGATTTCTCGCCATGGTTGTCCGATGTATATAGCATCACATTCCAAGCATTTTGTTTTATTTTGATGTGGTTGTATTCTCTGAGCTGGATGGTTTATTTTCGAAGCTTTCATCACCCTACTAGATGGCATCTTCAGCGCATACTTCAATCTCCTGTAGTGAGTTGTTTTAGATTTCTCCACGAGTTTATTAATCATCCCCCCTAGTGACCTTGGACGTGATTGGTTGTTTTTGTGTGTTTTCACACCATCTAGGTTACTTGTATTGGAACTGATTGTTTCTTTGACTTGTACTTTGACCCTTTGTGTGTGAAGTTTCTTTCTTATCAGTTGATAAATTTTGTCTATCTCGATGCGTCTATCAATTAAATTAACCATCCAGCTCAGAGAACACCACCACATCAAAATCATCCACTTGAGCTACAAATCTGCTCTATCATATTTTATTTTATAGAGCCAATTAGATAGGGAATCTTTAGGGATTTAGTCTTTTATGTGAACAAGGTTGCTTTGCAGTGTTTGATGTTTTGAACGAAATTCTGATTTCGTCCTTGTTGAGTACTCTTTTGATATCGTCTGACGTCTCTGCTCTATATAGAATAAAAACTAATGAGGCCCTTGATTTCAGAATACGTTTTCAACCATACTTAATGTCAGTGTTGATTTTGTTGATGAAGTACGTTGGGTAGTTATTTCGCTTGAGTCTCAGTAATGTTTGATATTTCTCCGTATTTTTCCTCCCCATCTTCTATTAAAGAGTGTACTCGTCTAAGAAAATTCCAAACAACTGATGCCTTTGCGCTGATGAGGTGTGATGACCCGAAGCCCAAATATTTGTTGGAGTGGGTTATCTTCTTGAATATAGATATATTAAAGTATTTCTTTTTCCTTCTCTTAACTAGGCAGTCTAGAAATGGTAGTTTACCGACGTCTGATTCTGCTTTCAAAGTAAACTGGATGCTGAGAGACTGATTGTTTACTTTCTCCAAGAATGAATTGTGTAAATATCGTTTTAGCACAACGAAAGTATCATCAACGTATATCAGGCGTTAGTATATTTGAAAAGATGTTATCTTCAAATGTATTCATAAAAATATTAGCGACTATCAGGGAAACTGGTGAGCACACAGAAATTCCACTCGGAACCCAAGGGAATTAAGTGATAATTTGTCCCAATAAAAATACAATTTGTTTTTACACCATTTTACTAGAAATTACTAATACAAGATAACCAGAAACTCAAATCTCTATCTACCCTCTGAGTTGAACTCTTATTAGTGAGTGAAAAAGTTCACGTGTACGGTTAGTTTTGTGACCAGTAACGAAGATAAGACAAATGAAACACACTATATATACCTACACAGCTGTTCATCCTTAGTAGTAATTTCAAAACTTTATTTTGACTTCAACAGATGCAAGACGTTTCAACCGCAGAAGTGCGATTACAAAATTTTCCCTACAAACCACCACTTGAATACAAAATTTTCGTTTAGAAGCATCTCTGTTTCATCCTGTTCTCTGCTGTCCTCCACAACTCCCCATACGCACTCCTCTTTCCCATGTCACTTTCTGATATTCAACTTGTCGTTTCCAATTCTGGTTCTACTCGAACGATGGTCTAGTGCGCTGTGTCACTCAATGGTCCCTTCAATGTGTGTCTGATCCATCCGTCTCCATTTCCATCGGAACATTCGTTCTTACATATAAACCTAATTTCTTATATGTCATTTTACATGCCTATTTGTATTTCTTTCACCCCAGTAATTGACTATTGATCTAATTTTAAATCTGATTGGCTGTTCACTGCTTAATTTATCGATAACATTAGTGCCTCTCAAGGTCATTTTTAACATACGTATACTCAAGTGGTATTAACCTTTTTTCGACTGTTGTTTCGAAACAGTAAGAGTACTCTTATTAACGTCCAGTCTTTTCCTCTGTCTCTGCGTGCCAGCAGTGTAATTGTTGACGTGCCGTGAGGACAGATGAGCCAGCACATTAAGTTAGTATTCGTTCATAGTCTACTAGGTCGTAGTTCCAGTCATAACACGTTGGTCAGTGGGTTCTTGGTTTGTTTGTTCCCAGAATTCCCTGTTGCTTATCCTTTCTGGCCGTCTGATCTTTAGTATGGAGCCAGCGAAGGCAGTTTTTGACGGGAGTTTGCAGCTTGTTGGAAATGCTTTCGGTGACGCGCCAAAGAAATCTACTTGTAGAATTTTTTATTTCGAAACATTCTTCATGAATATTTCACATTCATGATTTCATATGACAGAAATCATACTTCCTAGCATAATATGCTATCTATCCATTCTTGAATTATGATATACACGGAAGCTTTGTAATGTCAGTACAACACTTTGCGATAGCAGTGTCTGCCTTCTAACCATTTAAGTCTTTTCGATTATAAGTTTTTAACAAAACCCAGTCGTTTTACAGTAAAACCCAAGGAATATAATATTGTTTATGCATATGATGCATTTCATTTCACAATGCTTCTTAAAGTTACTTAGTACAGCACCAAAGAATACGTCTATTACCTTTTCGACAAATCCCCCTCCACCTACTGAGTTTGGAAAGAAGCTAGTACTATTATTAGTAATGCTCAACGTACAAGTGTGACCATTATTATTATTATTGATTCCTTTAGTTCCTAGAGGAATATAGGGCCTCAGCAGCATGTCTCCATAGCGTTCGGTTCTCTGCCAAAGTTTTCACCTGGCTCCACATTTGCTCACATGCTTTCATCTTCTCTTCACATGACCTCCTTCAAATCACCCTTGCACTGACGACCAACTCGCTGCTTCCCATTCGGGTTCCACTCGAGAGCCTATCTAGGAGTGTCACTTGATGGTTTCACAAGTGTGACTAACAACTGCCGCCTACTATACAGAAATCCAAATGATTTTCGAGTAGTATATTTTGACTGTAAATTTATTTAAAAATTACTTGATTGACATATTCATATACTTCTGCATACAGACGGTCAATGCTGTCATTGCTGTCGAAATATTCTATAGAGGAGAAAATTAAAAAGAAAAGAAGTAACAATTAGACATCTCATAGTACTACTCCTTTTGTACATAATCATCTTTTTATTTATTACCAATAGCATTCCGTTTACATTTGAAGGTTTAATAGGGAATGAAGTGACTGTGCCTGTTGATCAGTTCACTCACTTATCTAGGAAGTTTACTCAGATGTAGACATCATATCCGGCTAACGATGAAAGGACACGTCTACTGCGAATAAGTTCACTCTATCCGTCTCTATGAGAAATGGTGATTGATAGTTGTAGACCTGTCTTTAACTGTGACATCAATTCCTTTAGGAACCAACAAAATCACTTCACTCAACTGGCTCCATGTCAACCAAAAGACTCAACAGCGAAAGAAGATAAAAACCAATAACATCTACAAAATAAGTTGTAATGACTGAGAAACACTACATTAGCCAAAGTGGACGTCCCCTTCGTTTTTGTATTCATGATCATTAGCTAGCCGTCAAAAGACATGACATTCACTCCCTCATATCGCCTCATTGCATACAGACAACCATGGACATCAATTCAACTAGGACAATGTTCAGTTATTAGACAGAGGAAAAAACCGAGAATATTAGAGAATTTTTTGAAGCCTGGTATTCCAGTGAATTGTTAATCAGAAGACACTCTGACATAGCAAAATTTATCAGTCGATAAGAAGGAAATGTCACAAACAAAGGGTCAAACTTCAGGTCAAGGAAACAATCAGTACCAATACAAGTAGCCTAGAGGGTGTGAAAATACACAAAGACGACAAATCACGTTCAGTGTCACCAGGAGAGATGACTAATAAATTCGTGGAGAAATCTAAAAAAACTCACTTCAAGAGATTGGAATATGCGCTGAAGATGTTGCCTAGTAGGGGCAGTGAAAGCTTCGCAAATAAACCATCCAGCTCAGAGAATACAACTGGATCAAGATCACTCACCTGAGCTACAAATCTTCTTCATCATATCTTAACCGTATGTGTTTGGCCTCTATCTCCCATGTTAAGCAACATAATTTAGTGACAGAAAAGGAGGGCAAATGAATCGATGTGATTGTGAGGTTACATCAATTATTATTATTATATCCTTTAATTCCTAGAAGAACATAGGGCTTCAGCTGAGCGTCTCCATTGCCTTCTGTTTTCTGCCAACTTTTTCACCCCCTCCAAGTCTGCCCACATGCTTTCATCTCCTCTTCACATGACCTCCTCCAAGTCACCCTTGCACTGACGACCAACTCGCCGCTTCCCTTTAAGCCTGGTTCCACTCGGGCAATGGCTTGTCTAGTGATGTCACTTGATGGTTTCCTCAGTGTATGGCCAATCCACCTCCACTTCTTCCTGCCTATTTGTTTCACAATCGGTTCCTGGTTGGTTCGTTCATTTCCAGAGATCCCTGTTGCTGATCAACTCTGGCCGGCCATCTGATCTTGAGTATTGAGCGAAGGCAACTGTTAATGAAGGTCTGAAGTTTGTTGGAGATGCTCTTTATGATGCGCTGGCCAAGTCTCTGATCCGTATGGTGAGTAGCACTGACTGACTTCACATTGGAGTTGGAAATCCGGATCTTATTTTCATTTTCATGCTGAGTGCTGTTGACCTCCACACAGACTTGAAAGTAATGAAGGCTTGTCTTGCTTTTCCGATTCTGGCTTTGATATCCTCGTCAGTTCTGTCCGCTTGTAGTTGAAACGATACTTCCCAGGTCGGTAGGTAAAGGAGGTTGTTTCTTTCAGGTTCCTCCCATTTATGCAGATTGTTGTTGCTGTTGGTGTTGGCCAGGAATCTTCATCACCTTTGTTTTATCTATGTTCACTTGAAGTCCTATCCTTGATGCTTCTTGTGCTAGCTTGTTGATTTTCACTTGTATATCTTCCAGTTTGTGAGAAATCAGACATATATCATCGGCGAAGTCCAGATCCTCCAAGTCTCTTTTTGTGTGAGTCCATTTTGTGCCTGTTTCCTCATTGCCCGTCGTTGTCTGTCTCATTATCTAATCTACTTCAATCGATTTCATCGATTAAAATGAATAAAACGCCAGCTTCCTTGTAGAACAATGTTAGCTGACATAGGATTAGGTTGGAAAAGAGTTAAGCGTGATCAAATCAAAACATGGCATCAGTTCATGAAGTCTTTGACTGTCGGTTTGATCCACGCAGATTGGCTAATTAGGATTCTCAAAAGGCTAAGAGCCAATCGCTTGAAACTTTTGATGATATGGCTTGGAAAAGTTCTCTCTTTGTGACCTCCCGTGTCAATTTATTCTTGTACATGTGTGGTCATCATAGTCCTTCTGAATATATATTTTCTCTGTTTGTCTACCTTCATGTGTTGCATAGGTTGTGGCAGTTTGAACTGCGCTGTACTTTCGTGCAAAGTTCTATGCTGAAAGTCAGTCAGTCAATCAGTTAATATTTTTACAATGATTTGTATATAGGCTGGAGAATCTAATTCGGTGAACTGGTAATACAAGGATAATTAAGAGTTCAGCTTAAAAAAACACAAGAAGTATTTTATTCTCTAACATGAAGTCGTGTCACCTATCAATTATATTTTCATAAAAGCATATATACATACACAACGACGATGTGAGATAAATGTCTATACCAATAGTATTGTTACATAAATTCGATTTGTGATGTCATTTTAAAATGGAATAACGAAAATGGATGACGCAAAAAAGGAGAAACACAGATAAAAACAAAATTATATTCATCTTATTGACGTTAATCTGCTTACTTATTGGAGGGTCTTTAATATATGCCAATTGATTTACAGTGTTCACATATGACGGCCAAACATACTGTTCAAAATAGCTCGGTGGGTCTTCTATTATATATCTTCTCATTCTGAAGAAGAAGAGGAAGAATAGAGCTGATAGATAGTGTATTAAATTTTCATTCGTAATAAAGTATATTACTGAAATAAATATAAAAAAGTACTGTGAAAGTAGGGAACAGGTGAATGAGAAGTAGTAAGAATCCGTTTAAGATGAACACTATAAGAAAAAAGAGTAGTAACTACCTGTGAGTTATGCCAATCAGAGACTTCAGTAACCGATTCTGAACATTTCAAAAAATATTACAGTCAAACAGCTCGAACTTTCGCAGATTTCTAAGAAGGTTAGTCAGATTTGGTATATTATGGTCCTACTATTCTTAAATTTCTGTCACCCTTTGATTAGACACTAGTAACTAGTGTCATGAATTCATTCAAGGTTGCAGATACACCTTGCCGACTGGCGAGTGCCAACTAGCACGAAACCTAGGTCGAGCAAGGCATCCTGCCGATTGCCTCCAACCATCTAATATCATCAAATCAATGTGCACCGTGATGGCGAGCTACCTAGAATGGTGGCCACATTGCAGAGCTGACTTATAGAATTCAGTCTGCATCAAAGCAAGGACTAGACACTTCACACTAGTTACTGGCTAGTGTCCAATCAAAGTATCCAATGCAGTCCAATAGGAGGTCAGTCGCGAGCCCGAATAACTCAGTGGTAACGTCTCTGACTGCAGCTTCACTGGGTGACGCGGGTTCGAATCTTAGAAGGGATATGCGTTCGTCCAAGGTTGTAGATACGCCTTGCTAACGAATACCAACTAGCATTAAACCTAGGTGAGGAAAGGCTTTCTGCTGACTGCCCCCAACCATCTAATTCCTGTCAACCTCTATACCTAATTATTGTGAAGTGAGATAGGGTCAACATGATAAGGAATGGATTACTTTGGCAGTGCCATAGATACAGAAGAATATATATATATGTCAGAGAGACATTAGTAAGGCTTCGGTTGGAAATCACCCCAAGAAATTTGTAGACTATAATCTATGACAAGGAAATATTACAAATGAAGTACAAATGCTTACTTTCGTCTTTTTCGCATATTCTCATACGTTATTCTGAAAAACAACCGTAAATCCAACATTTTTCTGATCTCCCTATAGGTAATAAACACAAAACATAATAATAGAATTTTAAATGACACAGATGACTGTTATTCGTATCGTGTATTTTTTTTCCTTCACGTTCCCAGTGGGACATAGGGCGCCTTCAAGCTAGAGGCTTGAAGTTTCTGTAGCAGGGGTATTTATTTTTACAAGATGGGGTTGCTAACCTTATGCTCAAACTTTCCTCTTTACCAGCTTTGTTTCTGGCGTAGCGAGGTAAAGGGGTGTGTCGGCCGGGGGTCGAACCTCGGATCATGTGCATTGTCGGCGATTGTCCTGATCGCTGTACCACCAACGCACACATTTTGTATAGTGAATATTTTATAAAGTCTATTAGCATGACGCGAATTTGTCGGTGGTTTAGTGAAAGAATTCTCGTCAACCACGCTGAACGTGTTCTGAGTTCAATTCCCGGTAGATACACCCCGAAACCTCGCTTGACCAGTAGTAAGTTCACTAAAGAGGGAAGTGTAGGCGTGAAGTTATCAACCCCATTACAGCTATTGAAACTTCAAAGCGGAAGCCTGATCCCTCAAGTTCCACTCGTAAGGAAAAGCAATGATAAAACCAAAAACTAACAGGATAACACAGGCATGAAGTGTATTGCATATACGATAATCACTGCCTAGTCTACATTTTATTCTGCAAGTAATAACTGTTTTTACGTATATTCATCACGATAGATATTAATCCTGGAATTTTCTCCTTGTTTTGAATAAGAAAAATAAAGAAGGAAAGCGAGGACTTGAGCTTTGAATAATTGTTTATTAGATATATCACACAGTAAAACAGTATTAGTATTTACTGGATGACGAAGTTTCGAACATAATTTATTATTGTTCATAATCACATCATCAATCATAACCATACATATTCGAAACTTCAGTTTTATAGTTTTCTTTATTCCTTTCTATTCATCGTACTGGTGGTCGAATTTTCCGAATGTCTGGCTGAACAGGTGTTGAATCATTTTTACTGCACGTAGTACTTTTGTAACAACAGAAGACAAGGGCCGAAAACAGATCGTTTTATTACGGAAATCAGCACGTATTTATATATATTTCATGTACATTATTGTAGCTTATTCAAGCAGATAAACACAGTCTTCTGATTGGTTGTTTCTGGTTTCTCGGAAAGTTAAGCCATATATCTGGGAATCTTATTTGCCCACGTCAAGTCTGCTGTGATTGGTTGTTGAATCAGCCTTGCTCATATTTTCTCACGGCCAATATTAGTGAACCTAGACATTGACATGAATTAATGTCTACCGATTGGCTAGCAGCCTGCTCTCACCACACTTTCAGTTGATGAGATAAGTAAAGCTTGCGTTATCAATCTCTCCCTCCAACCTGTGACATTAGATTTTAAAACTGTCATCTTATCCCATCCTATTGTATGGTTGTGTGTAATTGCATGTAGTGAGTGCTATAGCTGAACTATTCTCTAGACTTCTTATCTTATTCGGGTCAACTAATCTAGATTTTACTAGGTTGATATGCTCCGCTGGTCTGACTGACTCCGTTCTACTACTGTGACCTATGTATTTGACCTGACAGTCCTCTCAGGCTGCGTATTGGATAGACTAAATTGTTTTGTTTAACTGGCTCGACTGGCAAGATCCTTTAGCCGACAAAGCTTGTTTCTAATTGAGTTTGTGGGTTTGAATGCCGGCCACTTTTATTCCTGCCTGAATTGTTAAAAATTCTACGTAAGGTGGTTTCCAAGGTTCCTTGTTTGTATAGAAGTATCGCCGGTGATTTAAATTCCCTATCGTTGATGTAGTCATTATTCAGTGCATGCCCGCCAGGATCAGGGCCACTGGGACGGAATCCAATAACCGACGAATTCTAACTTCTGTGAACTTACGATTTTTAGTGCCACCGCCAGCTAATATCCTCAGCGGATATTTGTCGTCATACTCGACCTGGTAGACCCCAATAGTCTTTACTGTTATTGTAATTATTATTATCATTAATTTAACGTTTGATATCTTCACATTCTTATCCTAAGAGTATTACGTATATTACTCACTGTTGTTCAAATTAAATAAAATGAAATGGTTGGAAACACATAAACAATATTAAAAGTAACTCACTCTATATTCATTATCATTATACCTTCAATTATAAGTATTTTAGGTTTTCCGTTGTATGTTTTATCCATATTCCATATATTAATAACAGAAATTAGACCATCCCAGTTGATGGCTGCTTCACCTACGACAGTGATAAAAGGGACATACATACGTATATATAATGAGGGTTTAATAAATATTTGCTTAGAAAACTGTTAAAATATCGTTTTTCTGACAAATGCCGAAATTTTAAAGGCTGCATTTCTTTGGGATTTGACAGATGATATCAAGGTGGATTTCATCACGAACATACATCAGTTAGAAAACTCTATCGAGCAGCATGGGTCAGCTGTTTTGAGCAGTTAGGAGATTACTGCCTTGCTTGCTTATCAGTTATAATCAACTAAAAGATGTAGTCGAGATTTGTCGGTTTTCCTTAGAATGTAGTGTAAAACGACTCATATGCTAATTTCTTATTCAATGTAGGACCACAAAACCCATCAGCCTCCTGAAACATACACTTTGTGGATTATGAAGCAAAAAGAAAAATATATAATCAGTAATTTATGCAGTTTTTTTCTCAGTTTTAGCTGTTTCAGTTATTCGTTCAACATTTTAAAGGAGTACATCACTTCAAATCAATGCACCTTGGAATAGTACACAAATAGAAAAAAATATAGTTATGAAGTAATATACTTGTGGATGAAAATAGGTTATAATATGGAAGAGAGTGTGACAGTAGTAGGGAGTAGATTAATCTGCAGCATTGTAAACAATTGCCAATCTTGCTACCAAAAGTCCAGTAATGACTGAGCGCTGTATCATGAGGATCAGGCAACCTACACCTACATATATATCAGAGGAAAGCATTTAGAATGGGTATTCGATCATTAATGTTTCTATTATTCTGTCGGGTTTCTAGTAGAACATAATGCTTCAGTAGCACATCTCAGTTTCACCCTGTAGTCCTTTTTAACTGACTCCACGATTGCCCGAAAACCTTCATTTCCTACCCTCACAATCTCCTCCACGCCACCTCCAGATGCCCTAATTGTCGTTACCCATTCGGATTTAGCACAACCAATGGTCTGGCGGGCTGTGTCACTCAACGGTCCTTCCGGCATGTTTCCGATTCATCCATTTCCATTTTCTTCAGTACATTTGTTAGGCAACCGATATTTAATTGGTTCATTCCAAGAGTTCTTAGTTTTGATAATCATTCCTGGTTATCTGATCTTCAGTATGCACCGAAGGCAGCAGTTGATGAAAGTCTACAGCAGGCCTGATGGAAATGTTTTCAGTGACAGTCAAAGCAAGTCTGTTAACCATATTGGAGCATTGATTTGAAATGATAGTGTTGAAAATCCGGATAATTTTCTCTTTGCTCAGTTCAGTAGATTTCCACACTGACTTCACAGTGATGAGCGATAGTCCTGTTTTTCCCATCCTAGCTTTAATGTTCTCACTCCTTTCACTTGTACTCGAGACAATGATGTCTAGATAAATGAGGAAAGAGACTTCCTTTAAATTTCTCCCATTGTTAGCAATTGGTACTTGTTGGTGTTGTTGTTGTTAGTTAAGTGTCTTCTTCACCTTTGTCTCCTCTTTCTTCACCTGAAATCCTGTCTTCGCTTCTTCGTCTATCAAACTTTTAGTTTCCATCCAAGTTTGTATGACGTTGGGCTGTCTATCTGCAAAGTTTATCGCGTTTAAATGAATTTTCCTGTCGACTAATTTTATCTCGAATATCAAAAAATAGTTTTGTTTATCCCTACACAGTATTCATGATATAATCGGTATAATTTACTGTTGAAAATACATCCAGGCACATTCTACTACGACAGCTTAAGAAGAACTCGAGAGCTTATCTAATACGGCAAATAACTTCCCACCTACAAATGATTTTGTATTTGATGTTAGGTGATTGGAGATGATGGAAGTAGGAAGCCCTCAACCCAAGTTTACCGCTTTTCCGATAGGCGTATATGAAGCCTTGAACAAACTCATATCACCTATGGGATTTAAACTCCAGTTGCCCAGTCCTGCAGTTAGAGATGTTGCCACCACTGAGCTATTAGGGTTCATGGATTAACTTCCATCACAACTGTAATGGATACATTGATTGGTCAGTAGAATGTGACCAGTCTGCACCGATACCAAAGTCTAAACACACGACACACGAGTGTGACCAAATAGTGTTTATATAATACAGCAAATGGATAACTTACAATCATAGTTGGGTGCATTTGTGACCGGATTTCGAACATGACGTTCATCATCATATGGCTGGATTGAGATTTTATAAAAAAAAGAAAACAGGTTATTTCTATGAAAGAAGAATATTTCAAGAAAAAACGGATTGTATTCTGGACTGAATAATAAAATCTAACAACTTCATTTTATCATTTATTGATCTGGACTTCACCGATGATATATGTCTGATTTCCCACAAACTGGAAGATATACAAGTGAAAATCAACAAGCTAGCACAAGAAGCATCAAGGATAGGACTTCAAGTGAACACAGATAAAACAAAGGTGGTGAAGATTCCTGGCCAACATCAACAGCAACAACAATCTGCATAAGTGGGAGAAACCTGAAAGAAACAACCTCCTTTACCTACCGACCTGGGAAGTATCGTTTCAAATACAGGCGGACAGAACTGACGAGGATATCAAAGCCAGAATCGGAAAAGCAAGACAAGCCTTCAGTACTCTCAAGTCTGTGTGGAGGTCAACATCACTCAGCATGAAAATGAAAATAAGATCCGGATTTCCAACTCCAATGTGAAGTCAGTCAGTGCTACTCACCATACGGATCAGAGACTTGGCCAGCGCATCATAAAGAGCATCTCCAACAAACTTCAGACCTTCATTAACAGTTGCCTTCGCTCAATACTCAAGATCAGATGGCCGGCCAGAGTTGATCAGCAACAGGGATCTCTGGAAATGAGCGAACCAACTAGGAACCGATTGTGAAACAAATAGGCAGGAAGAAATGGAGGTGGATTGGCCATACACTGAGGAAACCATCAAGTGATATCACTAGACAAGCCATTGCCCGAGTGGAACCAGGCTTAAAGGGAAGCGGCGAATTGGTCGTCAGTGCAAGGGTGACTTGGAGGAGGTCGTGTGAAGAGGAGTTGAAAGCATGTGGGCAGACTTGGAGGGGGGTGAAAAAGTTGGCAGAAAACAGAAGGCAATGGAGACGCTCAGCTGAAGCCCTATGTTCCTCTAGGAATTAAAGGATAAAATAATAATAACAACTTCATTAAAATTTATTATTTAAGCCTAATTTTGCATTTAACATCAGGCAAAATTGCTGAAATAACGGCTGCTATTAAGAACACTTCGATATAAGGGGTGACTGTCATGAGTAATGCTTTGGCGTTTCAAACGATAAATTAAGCGTTCGAATCTCAGTGGGGACACCACCACTCTCATTGGGGATTGCAGGTACATCCAACTGATGAGTCGCAGATAGGACGAAATGCGCAACCTGGACTTAACATTGCTAGTCACCACCATTCCTATTGACATTTAAAACTACATACTACTGATTGACTAAGATGAGTAGTTTTATACTACTCATATTAACGAGTAGTGCTTGTTAGCCAGCCGGAGAGATGTGGTCGAAATACGAGACAGTCGTTTCGCTCGTTTGGAACCCAGCTCATTGGTGGGTTACCCGATTTGAATCAGCTCAGAGAAAAGAATCAGTTCAAACCACTAGATCTATAATCATCTGATTGAGCGAACTCGTAACACCTCCTCAAACTGTGTGAATTGCCAATTTGATGTTGACTTCTTATTTTATCTGAAGCATAAATCCGGTAGTGCGTCAGTGGCGCAGCGGTAAGGACACTCGCCGACCATGCACATGGTCCGGGGTTCGATCCCCGGCCACCGACGCACTCCTTTACCTCGCTAAGCCAGTAGTGAGATTGGGGAAGTGAAAAGGTTGGGCATGAGGCTAGTAGCCCCATCCTGTAAAATTAAACACTGCCACAGAAACTTCAAGCCACTAGCTTGAGGCCCTATGTTCCACTGGGAACGTGAAGGAAAAAAAAATAAATCCGGTAGAAAGGAATTACAAAAAGCAAGTATTGCAATAGCTTGTAGGATGTACAATGGTAACCACTAGCTCTGATTATCAGCCTACTTCGTAGTAGTGGATAATGTTATTGGTGAGTTTACTCTTTCTTTTGTTGAGTTTCTTCAAATTTCAATAAAGTATACTTAGTGTGAAAAACATCAAAGCGACTGAAAAAAGATAAACTACAAGACTACTCAACTGGCATAACTTCAACCCGATTGATTTGATTCGAAGTAATTTATCGAAATCTTGTCGGAAACATCTGGATTTGAGCAGTCAGTACTTAACAGATAGGAGAGATCGAAGTAGGCATGTTTACTAATTAAACTACACCGTAAGCCAATTAAGATTACTTGCACTAGAAATTCTACTTACGCTCTTATAGTAGTGCATAGATCATAAGAATACAGAGCACTTCATGCAGTATGTATCATTTCAAGTTGTCACAGCCACACAGACACACACACAATTTGAAAAATCACACGGAAAACAAGGAGAGAAAATATGAATGTTATTTATATGGTAATACGTGTGTGGTAGACGGTGTGATTTATTACAAACAGATGACTTATCAATATTATTCCCTTAGGTTCTGAATGAGGGCCTCCATTTCGTCCTGTTCGCTGCAGTTGTCTTTAGCTGACCCTACGATTGCCGACTAGTTCTAATTTTCTCCTCACAGCATCCTCTACATGTCATCCTTGGAAATCCAACTGGCCGCTTGCCTTTTAGGTTTTTTTAGGGCCTGGCAAGCAGTATCGTCCGACAGCCTGCCTAGCATGTGTCCAATCCATTCATCTCCACTTCCTCTGGCATATCTGTTAGCTAATAGGTTCTTAACTGATGCTTTTCCAGAGTTCCCTATTGCCTATCCTTTCTGATCCAGTTTACTAACCGGAGAAAGAAAGAAGTCTGAGAGTGAGACTAGTAATCCTACCCCTGAAAATCAACAAAGCTAATACCTAGGAAATGGAACTGGTTGTTTCTTTCGTAGTCAATTGATACAGAAACTTCAAAACAAAGCAAAAATAAAAAATACACTTATTCTTCGCTGGAATTGAAGAGACGGAATGATATGGGCTGATGAAAGTCTTCAGTGAGCTAGTCAGTCAATGTGTCTTCTTTCGATGAAAGCAAAAGTAAACATGGAAACAGAGACGTGAAGACTCTAAGATTTTGAGTGACATATCATCGTGAATGACATTTAGTAATATTCAAAATTGTCTACAATCATTGCTTCTTACCATCCTGCAGATTCAATCAAGCAATTTATACCTTCCCTCATGGTTCACAGTAAAGTTTACTGATTTCAGGGATTGGTGCTATTTTTCTGTCTGATAACTCTTAACTAATCGTCTTTTTGGTTGAATGATGTTAGCTGAAATAAGGCTATGAGGTTTTAAAAATACCGATATCTTGCTCAGAAAGTTAATCTGAAAGAAGAAAATTTATTTCAGTAAATTCTCTTCAGGTTTTTACAATCTAAAAATAAATATCCACTTACGTGGCTAGGATGGTCGTGCAGAAAAACTCCATGAATTCATGAAATCAGTGACGTGTGGCCTGTAGACTATTTAACTGAGAACTGCAGTCGTTGCAAACACTAGTAACATTTCAGAATACCATTCACAATGATAGATCGTAGAAATTCTGACGATTTTTACTTCTCAGTATTAAACCTTCGCCCTACCACACATCTATTTACATCTAAATGCCATTACATTTCTTCTACCTTCATTTATGTGTGCATTTTCGATGCATGTTTGTGCTAACTTTACGTATTATTATTGTTAACCAGATTCGAACTTTGGAAATAACCTGTAGATCATGGTTGTAAACTAATCACTGCTTTTCGCTAACTTGTGTTCACGGTCTCACAATATCTTTTTAAAGTATCAGACCAACAGTACAGTCAATACCAACTTGTACATATACTGCTGACGTACACATAGAGCTAGTTTAAAAAAACTAGTCAGAACTATTCATAGCAATCACCAGAGCTCTCTAAACATTTACCAGTAGGGTGCTACCGGTTGGGTGCGAGGAAAAATACTCGCCACCGATGACATTAGCTGGTGGTCCCACTATGTCGTGAATTGGCACAAGTTAGAATTCATGGGTTGGCCATTGGATTGGGTCCCAGTGGCTTAATGGCATACGAGCTCGTTGGCCTTGTAACCAGAAGGTCCTGGGTTCGAACCCCTGTGGTGGTGGTGGGGTACTGATGAAGAGTCACAAACTAGGCTGACGAAACAGCTGTCGAGCACTCCCATCTGGTTTTCCAATGGTTCTCTAACCAATGTCAGCTCATGATGAAATTAAGGTGAAATCCTGCTACCAATCGAATCCCTACAAACCAATACTTGAATTTTTCAAAAAATCAAGTAGTCGCTTCACTGATTCATCCTGAAATTGTCTACGAAGAATCAGAAATAAGTAAGTTTAGACTGAAATTTCATTAAAATGATCCTGCAACTGTCAGTAATGTAACTGTAGCACTTGTGCGCTGTAGTAGAATGTAATTTCATATTAGGTAAGTTTATTTCAAATATCACACAGTGATGATGCAGTATTAATAACTTGATGACGTTTGAAGCATAAATTATTGCCACTCATAATCATATCAATTTAGTCACACAGCTTCGCAATTCATCTATCTCCGCCTCTTCCCCTTGTTGCTTGTCACCATCGACCATATCTCCAGTATAGGTATTGGGTCATTTCGACTGCATTTGTGCGTCGTTGAATCAATGAACAACGACTAAGTTACCATCAGATTTCTACAGTGATTCGTTTATAAATTTTCAAATGACACAACTACAATCATGCCTATCATTAGATTCAATTTTGTGATTCTTGTCAAAAAAAACAATTTCTAGGCATTGTCAAATATGGCGTATGCTACTGATAAGATTTATCAGTAGTATATAAACAAACGTTCACCGGCACACACTAAAATCAAATAGTGGAAAGATAGATTTGACGTCAAAGGAAGCAAACGAACCAGCGTTGCGGCAAAACATGGGAAACACGAAAAAAAGACAAAGAAAGACATGACGAAGGAAGGTCAGAAGTAGCACAAATATATTGCACTGATTAAGGTACTCTACTCGTACTCATACAGCCAGGTGAGGGCTTACGGCGAGCTGTCATCTGAACTGATGACGACCAGTGGTGTCCGTCAAGGATGCCCATTACCTCCTTTTCTATTCAACTTCATCATAGATGTGTTAATGGACTTAACCCTAGGTGACTTCAGCGACTCAGGGATTGACTTGCTACCGGGGAATAATCTCGTTGACTTGGAATATGCAGACGATATAGTCCTTCTAGGCGAGGACGCTGACGAAATGCAGAGTCTTCTAAACACCTTGAGCCGCAATCTACGAATGTTTGGCATGCGATTCGCTCCCGCCAAATGCAAGATGGTGTTACAGGACTGGACTACATCGACGCCTAGTTTAAAAATAGGAAGTGAAGTGGTAGAGCACGTTGACCGCTTCACTTATTTGGGAAGTACCATCAGCCAACGCCAACGGGCTGATCTCTGACGAAATCTCAGCACGAATACAAGGAGCTCGTTTCGCATTTGTTAGTTTACGCCGACTCTGGCGTAGACGAGATGTTCGACTATCGACCAAAGGGCGGGTGTACTGCTCATCAGTCCGCTCCGTCCTCCTTTATGGTTGTGAGACCTGGCCACTGAGAGTGGAAGACATGAAAAGACTAGCTGTCTTTGATCATAGGTGCCTGCGCTCTATTTCCCGTGTAAAGTGGCATAATAAGGTGAGCAACATGGAGGTTAGGCGTAGAGTTCTAGGTAAACAGGGGAAATCAATCGACGAAGTCGGGAAGCTACAAAGACTGAGATGGTTAGGACATGTGTTACGTATGCCAAGCCATTGCCTCCCTCGACGAGCAATGTTGGCGGATATAGGGTCAGGCTGGAAAAAAGCTAGCGGCGGCCAAACAAAAACTTGGCTGCACCAGTCAATGAAATCCACAACAGTTGGTCTAAGCCACGTAGGAAGGTGTAGACTTCCAGACTGGGGTCCTCGGGACGGTAAAAATCTATGGTTGGAAACAATTGGTGACATGGCTCAAAATCGTTCTCAATGGGTGGCGCAGATGCATCCACTCCTTGTGACTTATGATCTTCAATGAAACTGTTTTGTATTTCTTTATTACTCCTTTGTCTCACACCTCTGCTCACTGTTTCTATTATGCTTTTCTTGTACTTTCTTCTCTTGCTTCGCGTGCTACACGGAATGTGGCGACTTGAACTTCCGCACATTTGTGCAAAGTTCTATGTCGAAAACAGATAGACAGACAGACAGACAAGGTGTACATAATTTCGATGCACGGAGATACTAAATAAGCATCCCTTAACCAAGTAAGTCTCTTGCTTTCAACCGTAACATATAGCACTTTTTTCATACCTTTGTGTTCCTACTGGAACATTGGGCTTCAGGTTTCAGTAGCAGTGGTGTGACTTTTCCGAAGTAGGATAGCTAGCCTCACGGCAAACTTTCCTTTTTTATCTGACTTACAACAGGCTAAACGAGATTGAGTGGTCAGTCGGCCCTGAGCTGAACCTAGGTCACTTTCAGCAAGGCTGGCGGGAATCCTACGAGTGAACCATTGACTGACAACTAAAATTTATTAACGAACAATCAGATAATATATACAATGCAGTACATTTGTAACACACTCACCAGATAATAATCATCCATTGCTATATATGTAACATCATATCCAATAGATTTGAAATGTTCACAAAGTCTTTTGGTCACTGTTGTCTTACCAGTATTTGATCCTCTATTAATCAATAAAATTTTTAATGTAAGACAAAAATAGTCAATAATATATATATATATATATATATATATATATATATATATATATATATATATATATATATATATATATATATATATATATATATATATATATATATATATATATATATATATATATATATCATTAAGGGTAAAAACTAAAAACGCTGTAATATCAAGCGTACTGAGTAATCGAATAAAAAAGACCTTCAATTGATGATAGTGATGGTGGAGAAAACTCTTAGTAGCTGAGGTGGGTGATGGAGGATGTTGGTATTAGTGTGTATCCTCAGCCAGATGGTTTTATTTAAGAAGAGTTCATTATCCTTCTGGAAAACATCACTAGCTGCACTAACACCGTTGTGAAGTTAGAGAATGATACCATGACACTCACAAATATAGTAGAGTAAATGGATAGCTATGACGGACTTCTGTATTATATATTTGTGTGACAAACGTGCTAGGCTGAAATCGATTACAAATTACAATAAGACCGACTAAACCGGAACTTTGTATCCAAAAAAGAACACGTCCAGACGCTGTTCCTACTGTATCAAACTTGGATTCTTCTTCTCACCAAGAGTGCTCCTTCCCTTAACCCTCTTGGCTTTTTGGGTTTTTCTCCATTGCTTATTATTACAAATATTATTGTTAAACTTTTTATTATTATTCGTCATAACTTATGCCTTTCATGCAAACATTCTTTCCAAATTTTCCATTTATACTATCCAGATTTATTATTAGTAATACTATCTCGTTTCTCAATATTTGCCTCCACCTGTTTCATTTCACACTTTCGTTATTTCATTATGAACCTCTTATAGCAGTCTAACTATCTCCTGTTTAATACAGACCCCTTTGCACCAGCCACTCACCTGACACCTTTTTATAACCTTGAACTGACTTATCAGTTTTCATACCCCACATTCTACAAATCTTGCATGACTAATCACCACCACTGGCTCCCATTTTATAATATTGCGTAATCGATTTCAGCCTAGCACGTTTGTTATACAAATACGACTATTTATTTTGACACCCCATAACTAATATATAAGACTTCTACACCACCCTTTATTTATATTTCCAACCCCTTTCTTATCATCCCTTAATCTTATCTTATATTCATTATAAACGTGTTTCATTTCCTTCCCCTACAATCTAACATTACGTAATCGGTTCATTTGTTTTTACTAGCCTTTATCGACTACTTCCACCTGAACAATTGTTTGTTTAATCATACTGTTTTTCATTATTCGTGTTATCACAGATTGCCTCATTTTTCATCCTTATTATTGATAAGACCATTATTATTATTATTATTACTATTATTAATATTATCATTACCACTAATATATATATGTTATAGGGCGAAGTTAAGCTATAATAACAAAAACCACGGTGATCTTGAACAACCAATCACAATCCAGATTCAGAAAAGTCGCATAATCGTTGAAGAACATTATAAATAATTTTGCAAACATGATATTACACTATGTAGTTGTCGCTTATGTGTTGTAAGACTGCTTCCCAGTCACTACACAGATGATCTATGGGGAAATCATAACATGCTCAGTAGAGGTATTCATCTAGGTGACTGTAGCACTTATGATACTTTGAGATCTATTCATATATCTGACACTATTCTTTAACCTACTCCTAACTCTAACCATGATCTAAAATTCCTAATCCTAACTTTATCGCTCATCCTAACCTTAGCCTTAGACCCGTAAACCCTTCCCACATAAAATATTTTGGGGAAATTTATAGTTTTTTTGAGGCAACTGAATGAAATGCATCATTTATCCTTCAAATCTTTTATTTGGGTTAATCTTAAAAGTCATAACCCTACCTAACAGCATATATAATTATGGAAAAAGTACCTAGTGAATCAGTAGAATACTATATCTACCCTCTCCAAGTTCAATAAGGCGGGCATGATCTGACTGAGAATGACCTTTCATAGCATTCCTTGTATCTGATTAGCTCTTGAAGACCAACTTTCGAAATACCTTCACTTTGGCTATCATACTTGATTGTTGTGCCCACTTAGTCTCGAACCTAGTACTCATCATTCAAAACACTAGAGCGCTATCCACTCAACCACTCAGGTCACGAGAGCTGCCTCTTGTGCAGTATACATTATGGAGTAAAACATTTCCATCCAATCAAGCGAGGGGAAGATCAAAACTGTCATGAAGACAAATCATGTTATAGTTTTTTATATTGTATTGTGTCTAACCATTTAGGATGATTGCACGCTGCTTTGATATTGTGGTTAAAAGAATAAAAACCAAATTTACATATTTGTGCAAAAGATATTTAGTGCATTTTTCTTATTTTCGACAGCTTGTTTTTTTTTAAATAAATACTACATTTTTATGTAGACACTGCGTCATTTTATTGTTTAGTGTGTGTCATTAGACTGCTGATTGTCATTATTAGTCTTTATTTATATGTTTACCATAAGTCAAGGTGTCTGGTTAAACTCATTTCACTAGCATTGTAACAGTAGACGACGAAAGACTTGATAAAGGAATGTTTATTTGCAATTCGCTACCTCTATATTACCCAAAATTGTGTACACCTTATCTTCCAAATCACCATTTACACACATCTTCCATGTTGTGCTACTTCTACCCTTCTTTCATATTGTCTTTCGTTGTTTTTCTTTAACGTTTCCCATGGATATCTGCAACTCTGCATTATTTGCTTTCTCTGAAATCAAATCTGTCTTACTGTTGTTTGATATTTCTGTGTGCCGATGAGAGTCTCTTTATATACTACTGATAAATCTCATCAGTAGCACACACCACAGCATGACATCAATAATTATAATAATAATAAGTTCCGGTTAAAAAAATATTCTAATCATTACGTCACCACTCTATCACTTATGAAGTAAAATATTGCTGCTGAATGCCTATTTTAGTGCTTCTGTTTGTGATTGTGTGATACATTAGTGATGTATTGTTTTACCGGTTGATTTTGTTTGGGTGAATAAACGTGATTCTGACCTTGGTCTGCTTCCGGGAATTGTTGATGTGTTATTCTTGCGGATAGAGTTTTGATCCCACCTTGTTGGGAATATTCCACTTGATTGTTAGGTACTTCTTACAGGTGAATTTTGGTCAACTAATTTTTGTTCTCCAGTATTTGTTTTGTACTTAGAGAGTCACCTTGCCTGTTTAGCTACCCGACAACACCGTTGAGGCAATTTCGAGTTTTTGATGTTATTATTGTTGGTGAATAGAATCACACGGATCTATCACCGGATGATCCTTATTTTTTGTATTTGGAGCGTATTATGACTATGTGTATCTCATGAAAGTTTTGGATAGCTACGCAATAGGACGCAGATATCGACCCTCTGTGTTGAGACCACAAACAGCCAGTTTTGGTCATTAAATATATATATATATATATATATATATATATATATGGTTCGATTCCTGAAAGGTTCATGGATGCGTATTGTTGAGGGGTTTCAAGATAGGATGAAACACCGGTCCATTACTCTCTGGTTTCCAGTGGTTGTTTAACTGAAGTGTGTTTATGATTAATCTTGAAACTTCATTGTATTTTACCGGCTGTTTTAAAAAGTAAAACAAAACAAGATCACTAAGTAATCCACCTCACTAAAAGACTTTCCATTACAGCACTATTTTTCCGCGAAGACACTATGATGACAATAATGAAATCACGTAGTTATAAGGTTAAGTTATATTATTTATCTATCTAGAATTAGTTTGTTTTAATAATTAATATTCCCATATTTTTACTCTGCTTGCATGACCAATAATAAAACTCTTTTTCGAATAGCTTGTGGATGAAATAATGAATTAACTAAGAAGACTGACTGACCATTCAGACATCCCCCTATACGGTAAATATTGGTATTAACAGAAATCTTTTAAGGCATACACCTGGTTACAAACCGATATCAATTATAAAACCACTAAAAGCCACCTGTTTTAATAGTACATACACGCATGGTCTCACCACGTGTCGGATTCAAGACCTTCAGATTACCAAGCAAGCAATTACTTTACTTGTTCAACTAATCAGTGTCACGCGGGATGAAAATTCTATCAGTGCAACACTAGGAAATACTTCAAGTTGGAATAAATCTCATCTAATCAATAGTTGTCTAATTTCCTAACAAGCGTGTTAACCCTCTTATTTATTATTATTATTATTTTTCCTACACGTTCCTAGTGGAACATAGGGCCTCAAGCTAGTGGCTTGAAGTTTCTGTAGCAGTGTTGGGGTTTCTAGCCTCATGCCCAACCTTTCCTCTTTACCAGCATTATTTCTGGCTTACCGAAGTATAGGATTGCGTCGGTGGCCGGGGATCGAACCCTGGACCATGTGCGTGGTCGGCGAGCGTCCTAACCTCCGTGCCACCAACGCCCCGTTTATCCTCTTGGTAGCTTCAAAATACTAAGACTAACCAACATACCTTTAGATACATACCTACACAAAGAATTTTTATAGGGCAGGTTTTTGATGGGATTATGACACTTGCAGCAGCATATCTGGATAAATCTTGGATTGATTGGAGGATTTCATCATGAGCTGACATTGGATCCTGAGTTCGAAGCCGAACGGTGGGTGCGCACTGATGAAGAGTCTCAGACTAGGCTGACGAAACAGCTGTCCAGTACTCCAGCATTGGTCTTCCAATGCTTCTCCAACTGATGTCACCTCATGATGAAATCCTCCAACCAATCAAACAAAAAATCCTTACAAAACCAATATTTGAAAATCTTGAATTATTGCTACCTAAAATTCATAATCCTCTAGGAATCAATTAAAAATCCATCTTGATTCAGATCGAACAATACTTCATCATATGCCTAACTTGAAGGCCCTATGTGTTATTTCCTCAATAATTGTAAACTATATATATATATGTTTCACTTTATTCGACAATTGTCATCAGGTTGAAACAATCTGCTATCCTCCCGACGAATATTG